ATTCTTTCATACATCCATATTAGCAATCATCTGAATTCATTTCGTGTGCGTATCCTCTTTCATACAATCCATCATCATCATCATTGTCAGCCATAGGTCCTCCACTGCTGAACGTAGGCCTCCCCCATTGATTGCCACAATGCCTGGTCCTGTGCCGCCCGCATCCAGTGAACTCCTGTAACCTTGACCAGGTCATCGGTCCATCTTGCGGGAGGCATACCTACTGCGACGACCTATCCGTGGCCGCCACTCTAGGACTCTTCGGCCTCATCGGCCATCCGTTCTGCAATACAATACAAATACAATCCATACAAAGTTTGAATTAAATCAATATTCATTTCAACTAAACTAAACTATCGCACAACTGTTTAGTCTCGCTTCCATTCTTATAAGCTTATATGGAGGCACGCACACTCGATTTTTAGTTCTGCAACTAAACAGTTGGCTGCGAAACAATCGACAGTCGCACAACAGTTGTGCGACAGTTTAGTCAAAGCGCACTCTATGCCGTTAATTATATGTTAACTTACATAAACTTAACCTATTTTGTAAAGCCGATGTAAAACAAAAAAACATATTCCCTCACATTTTCACAGGGCGCTAGTAAACGCCGGTTTTTCACCTAACCTCGATACGGCGACCTATTTAGGTTAAGTTAAGCTGCAATTTCGTAAGACCGCGTGACCCACTGAACCCTTTTTTAATCTTTTTTATATTTATAAACTCCTGGCATCCAATCTTTAATACATGACTCAATAGAGCCTTTGCCTGTTACCAAATACAAATACCTTTACATAGTAAATCGATGGAAAACATCTTTTTTTTTTTATAATTTAAGGTGGCAAACAAGCAAGCGGTGAAAAGCGACCGTTACCCATAAACATACGCAATTGCAGATGCGTTGCCTACACTTCATTGACGGAGGACGAGACGCACATAAAGAGGATATTACCTCTTTCTATGCGTCTCATCCACCGTCAAATCATATATTCCTTCCCATCCTTTCCTCTTAAGAAAGTGGAAAGGGAAAAGGACTAAAATTAGGCCTCCGGCACCACACTCATCAGACGAAACGCGGAATTGCTTCCACTTCACGCCTGTTTTCTGTGTGGTCGTAGTATTGCTGGGGGCAAGCCGGTCCGTTCGTGCGAAGATGTTAAAGCGGGCTCTACCACTGTTGAACCACGAACGTGATCTGAACCACGCATACAATATGAAACAAGTGATACCTTGACCTAGACATCTGTCAAAATTGGTTTGCTACTGGTACGCACACCTTTGACTATCGCACAAATGTTCTGCGATTGATGAATGTTTCGCAGCCTTCAATTGTTTAGTTGCACAGAAAAAAATCTAGTAGTGTGTAACGCGCACCTCCGTATCATACTAATATTATAAATGCAAAAGTTTAGATGGATGGATGGTCTGTTAGAGTTAGTAGGCCAAACGCCTGGACGGATTTCGATGAAAATTGGTACGGATGAAGACGATAGTCTGGAAGATCACATAGGCTACTCAATTTTTTTTTAATTCACGAGGTCGGATCGCAGGCGGATTAGTAAAGTCATAAGAATCAAAGAGAGACTAAACAGTTCTGCGATACTTAAGATAGATGGATGTTTAGAGTTAGCCTAAATTGCTGGACGGATCTCGATTGAAGTCATAGATGTACATTCTGGAAGAACATATAGACTACTAGCTTTTGTTTTTTTTCCATGCTTAGAGTCGCAGCTGTATTTATTCAAACATATACAAAAAATACCTCTCTTTTAGACTTTTAGGCATAAAATTTAATAATAAAATATCATATAACAATGAGAATAAATTAAATCATCTATTCACAGCGTGTTCATAATACATGCATCATTGATTTTTGACGCACTTCCCACGGGAGTAGGCGAGAAGGGAATTAAATTACAAGACATGTTCAAATAATTATATCTTGTAATTAACACTTATAGTACCTCATATTATGAAACAAATGAGAAATTTTATTGATAACTAGCTTATGCCCGCGACTCTGCTCGCGTGTAATTAAAAAACTGAATAGCCTATGTGTTCTTCCAGACCATACTCTACATCTATGCCAAATTTCATCGAGATCCGTTCAGCGATTTAGGCTACAAACTGTAACAAACATCCATCCATCTAAACTTTCGCATCTATAATATTAGTAAGATTTCAATATGTGATAATTGCATTTATTGTTTAAGGATTTCCTTTGATTTTCAGTATTGAAATCTGTACTAATATTATAAAGAGAAAAGATTTGTTTGTATGTATTGAAATAACTCGAAAACTACTGGGCAGATTTAAAAAATTGTGCCACTATTAAAAAGCTACGTTATCGCTGGGTAAAATAGGCTATATTTTTAATTTTCACGTGACCGAAATCGCGAGCAAAAGCCATTTAATGATAAAAACAAGTCTTACCTTAGAAAAGTCTATGATTACAGTCTTAGATAGATAAAATTGTTTTAGTAAGGGTAATAATTTCTTATTTTAAATTAAATTTGAAATATCCATTTCTGTGTGCAGGGAAAATATTTTCCCGTTTCATCTAATAACAAAACTAACACTTCTTTTGGTAAAATTAAGCCTTTCCTAGCCATTGTATTACGGTTGGTAAGGGTAGGTGACATCGACAGGGGAGGGGACTAGTAGGACAAGTACTCCACATCTCGCTCCAGGCGTATTTTGATTTCCTGTGGTGTATATTTTATGTTTAAGTGTACATTAAAGTAATTTATGAAATTCTTAGTACAAAATATTATTGTATAAGAGGTATTATAATTAAAATAGGGTATAAGTGAGCCTTCAACTTGTAAAGTAATACCGGACTGGCTCGAGTCGCGCAAGAGGAAGATTTTCACGCTCCATAAAAGAACAAAGGTAAATTACGCACGGAAAGAGTACGGGGAAGGGGAAGGGAAGGGGAGGGGACAACCTCGCTCGATTTGAACCGTTTAAACGTAGTTAAATACAGCATCTTTGTGAAAATGTACAAATACAATATGGACAGAATTTACATAAATATCTTTTATCTTTTCATATATTTACTTATTGCCGTTTTGCGGTTAAATTATAAAATTCTCCGCTAACTATTTGAGATATTGCGGTTAAAAAATATGTAACTATGTGTAAACGACCATATACTGAAACGACATTAAAATATCTAAGAGCGTTTTAATAATAAGACCACTCCAAAGTTAAAATTCCAATAAAATATTGACGTCTGTCAATAAACGGTGCTTACAAATCGAAGGATTCCTTTCAGTATTTAGTTTTACCATTAATATGTAGTGTTAGGTAACAAAATTAGTTAAACAGACCTATATAGTTTGCATTTTTTTATGTCCGCTCTGTAGCTTGTTTTAATATATAAGTTTCGAATACAGTGATATTTGAATTAACACATATATAAAAAAAGAAATAAAAGTAACTGGCAGTCAAAACCCTCATTGATATTTTCAAACAGGAATGTTTTGTGGCTGTACGACCTCGCGACCTTTGCCTTTTCGAGATAAACGACAATAAAATGTACGCGAATTTTCAATGTCTCGTTTAATTACCGCCATTTTAAAAATGGCCGCCGAATGTACGCTTATTAATTAAGATTCACGAACGACTAGTAATTGCTTGTTTTACGTTTAATTAATAAAATATGTTTCAATATTTATTACATTCGATAAAATAGGAAATCTATTTAAATATGGATTGAATTATTTGCGTAAAAAACATTTACCATGTCATAGATTTATTAAACATTTTAGAAGTAATCTATACAAATATTTTGAATATATAAGATTTTATTTTTGTATGTATTTGAATTACTCATTATACTGGGCCGTTTTCATAAAATTCTTTTACCATAAAAAAGCTACGTTATCAGTGAGTAACATAAGCTATATTTTTATTATTTTTTTAAAATTTCATGCGGAAAATATCTTCACATACTCGTATATATAAACTTACAATTGTTACAAGCAAAATTATGATTGAATAAGAAAAATAATGATAGATCTTCTAAAGGTCCGAAACTAGTCGTTACCCTCACTGTAACATAGTCGTAAGTTGAACCATTTTTTAATTCATTAATTATTTATTAAATATATGAAAGTTTAAATAACCCAATATTTGACTTTAAAAAGAAATCAATAACAAGAAAAGTTAACATCATATCCGAATGACCTGAGTTCAAGTATGTAGTAAAAAAAGTATAAAAAAACAAACGCCCCTCGTGTTAAGATATCCCCCCTAAAGCGGGGGCGCATCGTCAATAGTTACCGCTCCCTTTGTCCAAAACCACAGGACGCTTTCAGTGCCTTATAGATAGAACACTTATTTACCGTATGTTTACAATCATTGTCAAATTTATAACTACGACTGTTACTTTAAAAAAACGGAACAAAAACATTTGTAATTCCTGTCATGTAAAAAAACAGGTAACTTACAATAAAAAAAAAAGAAATTAACTAGTAGCCAATGTGGTCTTCTAGAGTATTTTCTACTTAAGTGATACAGCGAACCGTTGAACCCTTTTGGAAGATGTACTAACAAATATCCATGTAAAATATTATTTATAATATTAGCAAGAAGATCTATCATTTAGTCTAAATGACGTCACAGGTCACTTTTCCTGTTTCATGATCAATATTTCGCATATTTCATTTATAAAAATCTTTACTAAAAATCCTAGACTCATCCATTTGATACATCGTACTGAAAAAGGAACCCAATTTTAATTCAAATTTAGAATTCGAAATTCAAATTCAAATTTAGAATCCGAAATTCAAATTTTAAAACGTCTACACTTGCAGACATCAACATTCCAGCCAGTATCACTACAAAAAAGCAAACGCATCAGGCACGTTCATTACGTAGACGCACTACGCGTCGCAAGCATCACGCAGGTTCTGCTGCCCGGGACCTCGTACTGATCAGTTCCCCCTCCCCTCCCCCTTCTCCCCTCGCCCCGCACAGCCTCCGCCCCACCCCCACACCGCTACCGAGCCAGATCGCATCCAGCACTCGTCCGGTACGGTCGTATTGTGACAACACGTAAAACACCTGTGGCATCCGAACCAAATGATAACGACTGTGTAAATTCGCGAGTTCGATTCCTTGGATTATTTATTATCGTGTTGGATTACAGTGATTGTGTTGTTTGTGTGTGTTTTTATGAATGGAAACCCATGGACCGGTTCCACCGGATACAAGTCTTGACGGATGAGATGGCTGATTTCCGTTCATACTGGTTTGTCGTGGGAGTTTTAAGATCCCATTTTATTCATACCATTAAGAGAATCGTAAATTTAATTAGCTATAAGTATTGATTTCGTTTTAATTAATATTCCGAATTTAATCTACGTTGTTTACTTCAAGACAAAACATAACTGACTTGAAGAAATTGAATTAAGTTGGAACGGATAAGGATTTCCTTCATGCTTATAAAATAATTACGCAGAAATACTCAGCGGATTGAATAAAGTTTTTTCTTTCATATTCAACGGTAACATAGTTTTTGTAATTACAAATATTTGAAAATAATTTTAATGATTTTCAAAATAATAATTGAAAAGAAATAGTGATAACGTTTTCATAAAACCTTTCTTTTGCAATTTATTTTATTATACTGTTTATAATAAATTCTTTTAATGTTATACAAACAAAATAACTATGTTTTCTTGTTAGTTTTCGTCGATATTGTTTACATACTCATATTTCGCTTGTAGGTATAACTTGCAATAATAGATAGGACGTAAACGGTAACATGCTTTCATAGTTACATATTATTGAATAACATAGGACTATGTAAAATATTATAACAATGTATAACTAACTTTCGCTTCCGACTCTGTCCGCGTGGAATTAAAACAAAACAACAATGAGTAGCATATGTGTTTCTCTAGACTATCCTCGACAAATAATAATTTACTTTCTACGTATAATTTAGTAATTCACAATTTTCACTTACCTAGGGGAACACTGCAGTGCCTCTAGTTTGACAAATAGATATATCTTAGTTATCTATACTATTATAATAAAGCGTAAACACACACTTCTATGTTGCCTAAGATCTCAGCAATTACAGCATATTTTTGAATAATTCTTTTTTTAATAAAAAGTCCTACATTTACGTCAAGCTTTAGACTATATTTTCACGCCATTAAACTTAGGGGGTTAACATTTTGATAAAAACCCTAATGTGGGAGAGACCATACGATACGAGCTGCCAACATCAAGATGCAAGATTGCCATAGTAAGGTAATTAGTATTTTGACATTTGCAAATAAGAATTTGACAAATGTAAACAATAAAAGTTCTTATAATTTTGTGTGGATGAAGCCGCGCGGGAACAGCTAGTTACTAATAATATAAATGCGAAGGTTTAGATGGATGTTTGTTAGAGATTGTAGCCTTACGACTGTATGGATCTCGATGAAGGCATAGATATAGAGTCTGGAAGAACACACACTTGCTTTAGTTTTCTTAATTCCACGACGATGGTGTCACAGGTGAAAGCTATTCTTAAGGTCCTTTAAATAATTCCGTCTTAAATTTCATCATTCAAATATGAGTAAGCAGGAAATAGAAAAATGTTAAATCTAGTCAACTACAGTTCTGTTAGTCTGAATCAACATTTATATCTTCCGTGGTAGGTCAATGTTAGTTTTTTTCTATCGCCACCAGCTCACTATATATGTCCCTACCGTGGAGCTCGGAGCCTACCCTAAATTAGGGTGATGATTTTTTTCTATCAAATTACAATCTTAGTAATATTATAAATGCGAGAGTTTAGATACATAGATGGATGTTTGTTAGAGTTTGTAGCCTAAACCACTTAACGGATCTCTATGAAATTTGGCATGGATGTAGAAAACAGTCTGGAAGAACACATAGGCTACTCCCTTTTGTTTTTTTTAATGTCACGCGGACGGAGTCGCGGACGAAAGCTAGTAATAAATTAAATTATGATATATTAAACAAACAAAAGTAGGTAGCCTATGTGTTCCAGACTATAAATGTCAAATTTCATCGAGATCCAGCAGTTTAGGTTACTCGTAACATTCTTCCAAACTTTCGCATTTATATTAGTAAATGTAACATTTGTAAAAACAATGATAACAATTGTAGTTATTTAATCATCAAACGTGGTACAAAGCTTATTTCAATTTATCAAGCATGTCCAAAATTAATCTCCGTGAAATTCGAACCTAACTGTAATGACAATAGACAGTCTGTTTTTGATAAAAATTTACGCCCACCGTGACGTATGTTCAGTTGTCATACATGATATGAGTGTCCAGAATACCACATGGTTTATGTTACTAGCTGTCACCCGTGACTCTGCGTGGAATTGAAAGAATACTTACATAAAAACTATAGGTTGATTATTTAAACGAATCTCGAACAATTCGCTTTGAAATCACTACTTACAATCTGTCAGACAAAATAATGCAATTTGGAATTTAATACTAGATCTAAATTCATCCAATACTAGCTGATGCTCTCGATTTCGCCTGCGTGAAATTAAAAAATATAGCCTATGTTACTCACTAATAACATAGCATTATAATGGTATAAGATTTTTTCAAATCAGCCCAATAGTTTTTGAGTTATTTCAATACATACAAATGTCCTCTTTATAATATTAATATAGATTTAAGAACGCATAGGGTACATTGTATCTTTGGCTAGCCGTGGGAAAAATGTTTTTATTTACTTGTAAACCTGCAATATCACAAACAGTTCATTCTAAAAAACAATTAAAAAAGGTGATTAAATAATCGTCGTCCAAAACCTGTTTCTGTGGGAATCGATGTATCTATTACGAGGCGTTCGATGCGAAAAATAAAATTATATAAAATAAAACGGAATCGAACTCGTTGACTGTCGAACCGGTTGTAAGAAACCTGACAGGATGGACATCCGCCGTCAGCAACCGCAGACCGCACCTTAAGGGTGCGATATTATAAAGGTTTCTTTACCTAAACTTCGCCCACAAGGCTACACTAGTCCGCGATTTTAGTCCCTAAGCGACTTCGCAATATAATCTCATAGAGTACACAAGCAAAGGTCGATACTGTTTTGCGTAATTGCGTGTAACTCAAAAACTACTGGGCCGATTTTAAATATTCTTACACCGTTAGAAAGATAATTTGTCTGTAAGTAAAAGGCTATATTTTTTAATTTTATGCGAACGAAGTCAGAGGCAACAGTCAGTGAAATATAAATCGGTGTGTATATTGAAAGCAAACTATAACTATTTAATCATGTCTTTATTAATATTGTCGGTTTGTCTGTAATTTTGTGCGTTCTAATCAAAGTAACGGCTTAATTTACTTAGTTGCGTTTTTCATTTATGTATTGTAGTAAATGTTATTTAAAATTTAGCATATGTTTTTAATAAGTGGATAAAAATTTATATCTGACTAGCTTTCCGCGACACCGTCCGCGTGTAATTAACAAAAAAAAAAGTGAGTAGCCTATGTGTTCTTCCAGACTATTATCTACATCTGTACCAAATTTCATCGAAATCCGTTCAGCAGTTTAGGCTACAAACTCTAACAAACATCCATCCATCTAAACTTTCGCATTTAGTATGATTTTATAGATACGTTTTTTTTTAATAATTCATATTATTAGTTTTATTAAATAAAGTATGATTAAAAAGCCAGTAAAATAATAACATTGTTTCATCTCATACTGCGAATTCTAAATTAAACGAGCTCGGGTTCTATTTATTTATATACGGACTCCGTTGGTCTGATTCTATGGAACAATATTTTTAATATCGCATGTCACACTTTTTATACAGGGTGTGTATGTAGGTCGGTTATAGTCGGACATTTTTGTATTATTAAGAGTTTATACTAATTTTGATAAAACTGGTATATATTTTTATGAATATTAGAAAATTGAATATTTGAGTATCACATTTTGTTTTTTTGTGACTGAATGACCACTGCTTGCCTTGAAGAGGCATTAATAGATTCACCGGGCTTGAGGTGGCCGAGCGCAGTTGACGCTTAGCTTTTTTTTGTGACTGGATGGCCACTGCTTGCCTTGAAGA